TTGACCTCGCCCGCTCACGCTGAGATCTCTGCACAGGGAGGCACGGTCAGTTCCCGGCGGGCACCCTCCGTGAGAGGGCGTGTGTGGGGTCTCACACACATCTGAAAAGCTCAGAGAGAGCTGGACGAAGATAAAATGGTGACTGAAGAAGGCAAAAGTCCACTTTTCCACTCACTACCATGCTGAACTGTCCAATAAAGCTTGTTTCCATTTCTTTTCACTAAATGACTTAAACTAAGGTCTTCATAGTTATCACGTCACTTAACCCTTTCACGGCTTGGGCAGCCCGGACTGTCATTCCCACTTCACGGATGAGAAAACCGAGGCTGAGAGAGGACACGTGAGGGCCCACAGTCACTCAGGTACAGAGCAGCAGAACCAGAATTTGAACCTCGTTATATTTCCTAAACAGGAAACATATTCACACACAGAAATTACATTCAGACGTCAAAAAAAGGTTCTACGTCTGTGGTCCCTGGAGAAGACGACGACCCCTCCTCCTCACTGGTCAGACAAATCGGAATGAGAGGCTCAGGCCCGAGCCCCGCCCTGTGAGATGGGCCCTGGCCAGCTGCTGGCCCGTGTCCAGGGAGATGACCACGATGGAGAGGGAGCCCTGGAGGGAGGCATGGAGGCCTGGGTGCGGGGAGGGGGGCGGGTGCTGATCTCAAATAAATGTCAGGGGCTCGGAGGCCACGACGGGCATCACAGGGGCCGTGTTCCTGGGTGCAGCCCAGGCCTTTCTTCGAGTCCAGACCATGAAGCCAATCGCTTCCCTCCGGGTCATCTCCTTTGGGATGTCCCACGGGCCCTCCCACCCAACATGTCCCAACTGAACACCCCTCCAACCTGCTCCCCTCTGGGGGTCCTCCCCTCAGGAATGGGCCCAACACCCACCCTTTAGTCTGAGCCAGAGATCCAGGCATCCTGGACTCCCTCCCCTCCAAGTCACGCCCACATCAAGCCCCGTCGTCGGTTCAACCTCTCCAATCACGACCAAATTCACATGCATCTCGGTCCCTACAGCCACCACCTGAGTCCAGGCTTTGCACCAGCCTCCTGCCAGGTCTCCTACATCCAGCATTGCCCCCTCCAATCCATTCTCCACCCCGTGACGGACCTTCCTGAAAGTCCGCCTCCTGCCACATCACTGCCCAGCGGGGCCCGCTGAGCCCAGGGAGCCCAGCTGAAGGCAGGGGAGGAAGAGACCCATCCCCTAGGCTTTCTAGTTCATGTCCCATCCACCCACTGACTCCCCACACACTGTCCACCTGTCCTTTGAGCCAACCTCTGGTCTGCGGTCACATGCCCTTCTCCACGCACTGCTCTCGGGCTTCCCCGCTCCTGCCCTGTGCCGGACTCCAGGGACCCCTTTTCCTTGTGGCTCTCAGGGTGCCTGCCCGAGTTTTTACGGCTCCCTCCCTCACTCCTGTGTTTCAGGGTGACCCTCGACCTGAACACACCACTGTAACCCCAACAGCGCAGGCTCTGGTTTGTGAATGTCTGGAGGGGTCTTTACAGCTCTTAGGCCTGGGACATTTAGATATCTGAGTGAGAAATCTTCATTCCTGACATCTGGGCCAGACGTCACAGCTCCTGAAACCCTTCCACATTCTCGCTCTCATATGATCTCCACACAGGTGCGGGCTAGGTAGGACATGGGTTATTGCTTCCAATTTACACATCAGGAAACCGAGGCTTTGACGACTGCCAGAACTGCCGGGCCGGGATCCAGACCCAGGCCGTCTAACACCACAGCTGGCTCTTCCCGCTCTGCTCTGTGGCTCCAAACTGAGGACAAACAGAAATCTGTTCACTCAGCCGGGAACCCTATCCCTGGTTCCTCCCTCCGCGCCAGCCTGCCTACAAGTCGGCTAAACCATGCCTGCCTCCGGATTCCCATGAGTCACCAAGGTCACAGGGGACAGCTGCTGGGAGCACGTGGTCGGCCAGCACGGCCCGTCCGAAGCCTTGTGTGAGAACTCACCCCTCACTTGTGGGAGTCATCCCGGTGGAGAAGCACCGCCTGCAGCCCCGGGGGGCCCTGTACTTCTCTGGGCAGTTCTTTGAGCTTCTCCAGCCTCCTGGTTATGCCAGCTTCCGGCAGCCTGGTGTGCCACCCAGCTCTCTTCACAGCACCCGAAAAACTCACAGACAAGGCAAACATCCAGTCAAATATTTACCAGGGGAACGAAAGCAAGTGGGCGGCCTTCTTCCTTGTTTCAGAACACTGCTGGCTGTTCCTCCGCTCTTCCCCACCTTCTTGCACTACAAAGCAGGAGCCTCCCTCCCCTTTCCTTTCTCCCGGGCTCCTGTGGGCTCTTCTGGCTCCTGCTGTGAACACTGGCCCCCTGAGCCAGCAGAGCCTTGCCCAGCCCACTGAGGCCTCTTTAGCTGGCTGTGAAAAACGTTACCAGCAATTAAGCAGGACTGTGCCTCCAGGCAATCAACCAGGAAACTGGAACCAAGGGCTTCAAGGTTCTCCAGGGAAACAAGGCTGCTCACCTGCTGGCAGAAGGGGCTGGAGACAGTTCATAACTGAACCCTGCCAGTGCAGAGGAGCGTGTGATGGGATCTCCCGGCGATCAGAATTACCCACGAATTTGAATGGCCACACCCTGTTGCCAAATGATCTGGGACCAGATGGGAACTAGACTCCAGGTGTCCTTGTCTGTCCATCCATCAGCTACCCTCTCTCGCTGCATTCATTAAGCCTCCCAGCGGTTCTCATCCACCCATTTGTGTAGGGGGGTTCAGGGTGTGGGTGTGGATTGTTCACATCCTTATCTCCCTTCTGCAGCGTGGAGCTGGTGTTCAGACTGGTGCAGCCACGACCTGGAAGGAGCCTGGATCCCTGAAGCAACACCGGAGGAGACCAGGAGTAGCTGTTTGAGACGTTACGTGAATAAGCAATAAACTTCTACTAGATTAGAGCCCTTAAACACTTTGCAGTTTGCTACAGCAGCTAGTCCTTACCCTAATCAATACACTGGATTTTCCATTCACTGTGCTTTTGCGCCAGATCCCGCCCTCTTCACTTCCTGCCTGGACTGTCACAAGCGCTTTCTAGGGGCCCTGCAGCCTCCATGCTCTGCCCACCCACGCCTCTCCCCAAGGCCCAGCTCAGACCTGTCACCGCCCACCCAAGCACCCTCCCATACTCTGCACCCCTCACCCTAGCACCCCAATCCAAGCCATCCGAGAAGCTGCTTCAGCCCTCTTTTCCAGCCTAACCTCCACTGGTTTCCTGCACACACTGACAGGCATTCTAAGGTTGCTTGTTCATCCTTAAACATAGCCTTCGGTGCTACCGTGGATCTTTAGGGAGCAAGGAACAGAAATCCACTGACGCTGCCCTGAGTCCAAGGGGCTCCCTAGTACTCCCCAGTGAGGGCTGGGACCCATCCCGGGAAGGTGCTGGGAACTGGAGCCCCTCTCGGGAATGGTTCCTCCCCTCATGGCCCACGGGTCTCCCTCTCTCGCATTCTCCCTCTTGCCATTTTTGCTTCAATCTCTTCCCTCCGTGGCTCAGTCTCTTTGTTTCCTTATGATTTCCACTCTCCCATGGCTTCCGCTCGCCACCATCCTGACTCTAGTTCATGGCATTCTTTACACTTCTACCCCCCAAGTCCATGGGGTCCTTTCCAGGGTTGCCCCCAGTTCCCACTGCCAAGAGAAGAGATCTGCCCCAGCTCATCTCTTCCCCCTGGGGTGGGACACAGGCCAGTCTACACCTTTCTGTCTTTGGCTCAATCACACACCCCTAACCTCGGTCCTCGTAGGGCTATCGTAACAAAACGCCACGTCCGGGAGGCTTAACCAACAGACATTCATTATCCCACAGTTCCGGAAGCTGGAAGTCCAAAACCAAGGAGCCAGCAGGTTTGATTTCCACTAAGGCCTCTCTCCTCAGCTTGCAGAAGGCTGCCTTGTCACTGTGCCCTCATGCAGCCTTTCCTCTGTCACACGCATCCTGGTGGCTGTGTGCCAGTCCTAATCTCCTCCTCTTATAAAGCCGCCAGTCAGACTGGAGTAGGGCCCACCCCAACAGCCTCAGTTTAACTCAATCACCTCTTTAAAGGCCCCGTCTCCACACACTGTCACATTCTAAGGAACGGGGTTGAGGCCTCAATATATGAATTTGCGGGGACGTCATTTGGTCCATAATGCCCGTGGTCTAAGCCGCCCTGGGGGAGGGGAGAGGACTGTGGGGCAGAGAGCAGGCACCGTCACTGACAGACTCAGGCCACCGATGGGGTTTGCCCACCTTGGCCCCTCTCTCCCGCCAGGACCCGCTCTCCCGCTTCTGCTCACCACCCTCGTTTCGGCTCATTACTTCTACCTCAGGCGTAACTTCTGACATGACAGGTCTCCTGATCACCTGGTATAATCTCTCTCTTGGCTTGGTCTGCATCTATTTTATGGCATGTGTTCAGGCCTTCTTTCTTTATTTTTTTATTTAACTCATTCATGGAGAAGTAGTCTGGTACAGTGGTTCAGACTGCAGACCTTGGGGCCACCTCCACAATTGACTAGCTGCGTGATTCTGGGCCAGGTACATGGTTAACCTCTATGACCCCTGGTTTTGTCTGAGATGAGCTGCACCTACTTCACGGACGTGTGTGTTTGAGGTGCCCTCATACACTTGAGAGCTCAGGAGGGTGCGGGCACCCGTGAGCACTTGGTGAGCATCAGCTACTGGCGCGCCTGCTCTCTGCCGGGCACTGGCTGGCATGCGACTACACAGTCACATCACAGCTAACCGTGTCCAAGTCTCAGCTCCCCGATACAGCCCAGGGGCTGAGACGCCACCACTAGGTCTGATTTGGCATGGCGTCTGGGATGCAGGGGGCCCAGAAATGCTTCTTCTCAAAATTGAAAATAATGAGAGAAAAATGAAAATGACAGAAATATAAAGATCAGGTCCAACACAACTCTCTTCTTGGATGCCTAGAAACAAAGAAATGCTGTAAACGTGTTTTCTCTGGAACAGGCCTTACCCTTGCCTGGAAGCAGCAGTTCTGGGTGCGTCCGCACCACGCCGTTCGGGGAAGGACTTGCAAAGCGCTGCTTCTTCCAGGCACACGGAGATGCTCTCTCTTCTGGGAGTGTCCATCTGCCAGAAGCTTTCTGGCTGCACCGCCCAGACTGCAAATGGATGTTCTAAATTCTTGAATTATCGTGGTGGCGTTCCTCACAATGCCACAGTTCTTCTCTCCACACCGTTAAGGAAGAGTCACTTCGAATTGCCGCTGACCACCCTGGGGAGGTTGGGAAGGCAGCCGCCTTACAGTGGGAGAAACACGAAGGCACTTGTTATGAAAAGTTCAAGTTCAGCAACATTTCACCCACATGAATCAAGACCCACCTCTCAAGGGCTACCACGTTCCAGAATGACCCCTTTGAAACCTGAAGTCAAACCTGTGTGACAAATTTCATTTTCCTGCTCTCATACTTTCTCAGTTTGGTATCGAACCCAAAGGTAGAACTTAACGTGATCTGAAGAACACGTCAACATTCGCTTTATCTCTACCATTCTAACCTACGCGAGCATTTCTGAACACCGCCCCTCCTACCCAGTGCACCTCAATTCCTTTCTGAAGCTGTGGGGCATTTGCACACCTGTCGGGCACTCGTCCAGGTTACTGAGCAGAGCCCTGTAGCTCTCCAGTGGAGACCTCTTCCCCGGAGCCACGAGACGATGCTGCTGCCGCCGATTGGCGAAGAGCGAGGAAACAGATGACTGACTGACTACTCCAGGACCCAGCTTAGGAGGGTTCCTGTGTTCGAGCCCTGAAGTCAGCAGGGTTCAGTTCTGGTGATGTGGCAGAAGGAAATTCAGCAGTTCGTCCCAAAGGCTGTGCCTGTCTCCCAGCAGTTGGGAGCTTATCACAGGACAGCCTCTCTTTATTCTACAGACACATGGCTTAATTATTAAACTTAGAAACAAAGGAACCCAGACATATGGGAGACCTAGTGCAATTTCTCCATTAAGTAATATCGGCTGCTTTCTGGGGTGGGTGTGACCCTTGACTGCGAACCTTTTCTCTCCCTTTGAAAAAGAATGAAACTAATCTGCATTCTGATCCTGTCACTGCACAGGGCTGGCTCCTCCTGCAGACAGAATAAAGACAAACTCCTGAGCTGGGCATTCAGTGACCTTTGTGACGTGGCCCCAGGTCATCCTCCCGGACCAGACTCAGCTCTGGATAAGTGCACAGGAAGGCTGCACTGACCTCTCGGGCACCACCCACCTCCCTTGTCCTGGCTTGTTTATTTACGTCACAGATGTTTACCATGTACCCAGGGGCCAAGGAGTATGCTGGTGCCCAAGGACAGACACTCCAGAGGCACATCTTGAGCCCCCTTCCCAGGCTGCCCAAGATCCGGGCTAAAGCACAGAGTCTGCCCTAGAGAGGATTTTGGTGTGTCTCCATTGATCCCTGGTGGAATACAGAGAGTGAGGGAAGAGATCGGTGTACCAGAAGGCAGGCTGGACAGATGGCTGAGGTGGGGCAGCAGGGCAGAGACAGAGCAGCAACCCAGACCCTGCAGAGGCCTTTTCTAGGCACCAGGAGGGGGACTCCCTGAAACCAAAGGCCAGCCACAACGAGGCCCAGGTCGTTCCTGGGCCGGGGCACTCAGAAACCTGCCCTAGTGCTGCCCTGAAGAGCTGTGTCGTGACTTTGACCAAGACCCATCCTATCCTCGGCTGCAGGCACCCCCTGTGTAAAGTGAGGACGTCAGAGGTGATTTCTGAAGACCCTTTTCCCTTTCTGACAAAGCTCGCACGTCACCTCTTGTGGCCTCCCCGACTTCCCTCACTCGCCCCATTGCTTCACTCACCCCATTGCTCACACCTCTGAGCTTTCGGTGATTATCTGTGCTCATGTCTCCTCTCCTCCGGACCCAAGGTGCCTTATCCAGCACTTTGGCTCATTAGAATTATTAGAAAATATATATTTAACTAATGAATGAGGATCTTCTAGATCTGTAATCCCTGTGTTGTCCACAAGGTGGTGATTTGCACGCGTGGCCACAACACAAACCTTGCATTTTGGTTGAAGCCCTGGGGTAAAAAAAAAATGCCGAAGGGAAGAATGGAGAACCAGGAAAGACTTTCTGCAGACTTATTCCCTCACTCCCTGGTGGGAATATGGTCTCCCCTTCCCCTCTACATTTAAAGTATCTGCCTGTCAGACAATAATACAGGCCTGAGCTGCCAGCGCCATGCCTGTGTCTCACCGTATGTATCCAGCAGGCCAGGTGAGGCCAGTGATCTGGCCTCCCTGACCTCACCTCCTACCTCCCGAGCTTCCACACCCCCACGTAGCTCTGCAGCCTGGTTGAGCTTTCTCCTTGCTCCTCCTGACTGTACTGCATTCTCTCTGGTCTTCGTGCCTGTGGACACATGGTTCCCTCTCTCTGCCTGCCTTCTGGACAACACCTGTCTCCCTGGGACTCAGTTTAGGAAGCATCTTTTCCAAATAACCTCCTTAACCCTTGCGAGACAATAGACAGGCCTCAACTCTCTTCCCCATTGAGAGAATTCACCCCCACTTTCTCCCAGAATTCCATGGGCTTACAGTGTTAACTGGTGCTCTGGGAACCAGAGTGCACTGGGCTATGGGCTTCGGAGCAGTTTTGAAAAGGAAATAGATGCCCATCACCTTCAAAGCTTTGCAGTGTTTTCTCATATGCCACAGGCTCAGGGTTGGAAAGTGAGTCTCCTTACCATCTTCTCAAAGAGTCTGCTTGTATAATGCTCTCCCTACTGCTTAAAAGGCACATGGATCAGGTGTAAATGTGCCTCTTCGACTGTGTATTCCAACCTGCGTGAAGCACTCATTAAGTTCATAATGCTGACACCACTTAATAGACCAATATTTGCATAAAAAGCAGGCAAATCACTCCTGTACACATTTATTTGCTAATCATGACCACATTTCACACAGCCCAGGTCTCAGGGTCAGACACTGTGCAGCAACAGGGGTGGCTCAGAGTGAAGGATATAAAAGAACCTCTCACCTAATCCTGATTCTTTTATCTCCCCCCTCCATACTCCTTGCCAAGACTTGTCCTTGAACTCCCCCACTGACAGGGAGCTCACCACCTGTGGAGTAGTCCATTCTCTTTTTGGACAGCTACGGCCATTTGAAAGTTTGAACTCCCCAGAAAGGAGGTCCCTGAAATGCAGCATGGAGTTTCTCTCTCGTTTTCCAGCCCTGCTGTATTCTTTAACACTACACGTGCTTCCTTCACATTAAACAATCTTGAATTTCTTCATATATATACAACCACATGCTTACAAACATGCCATCACACATGACATGCAACTTATAATTGCTATTTCACTGAACAGTATATTACAAACATCTTTTTGTTACAGGTAACCTACTCTCCTTCCTCCTTTTCACTGCCCACCTAATCCGCTGTCACTGAATGTGCTACCACTTACTGAACCATTGCCCATCACTGGGGCTTTAGACTGTTTCCAAGTTGCTGCTGTAGTGACCAACTCCAGAATGAAATCTTCACATGTAGTGATATGTCCTTAGGAGAGATTCACAGAAGGGCACAGAGACTCAAGGAGTGCAAGTACTTTAAAAGGCCATGCCAGGTTCAAGGCAGCAGCCTCTGGATGAAACCATGCGTTAATAAGCGCGGAGAGCCATGTTGACTGCTATACCGCCATTATTATAGTCCTCATCACCCCCTACCTCCATCCCCCGAGTTTGCTTGTAAGGGAAGAGCCGGAGCAGGCCAGGCAGCTGGCCCTGCTCTGACCACCACATAAAGTGGCCTCTGCTGGGGCTCCTTTTGGGGATAAGGGCATCCCCTAAAAGACTGCAAACTGGGAAAGACCTGGGCTTGAAAAGCAAACTGGATGCCACCCAAGAGTGCTGTGGCTGGTCGTCCTAGGCTCCAAGAGGCTTTCTCCATCTCCAGGAGTTCAGAAAAAGAGAGCAAGAAACATGGGACAAATGAGGGTGAGGGGGTGAAGGCAAGAAAAGCCATCCATGAAGCCTGGTCAGCACGTCCCCTCCGTCTATTGTCTTCATGTGGCCACACGTCAAACTCCAGCAATCAAGACTCCCTTGTGCTTTCTGTCTGAGTCTTCTGCCAGACCCAGCGCACAGAACCTGGCTCTGGGCAGGCATGGAGACCGCATGAATAAATAAGTGACTGCAGGAACCTGTTCCACGGTGTCTTCCCAACATGCACTCCCCATTAAGTCACAGATATGCTGACACTATGTGCCAGGACATCCAATACCACATTACTTGTAGTAACAAAAGGACCAAAAACAACTGGTTGAATAAATGAGGTTTTTATACAATTAAATGCTGTGCAAAGCTTAAAATTCCAAAGCCAATCCTAAATAGATCACCATATCTCACCCAAATCACTCCTAACCATGAGATGCACCACGTCTTTATGCAGCATTAAGGGGGGGAGGGGAACTAATTAATGCTTCACTGATTGTAAAAGCAGCCGATTTCAGGCATAAGAGGTGGGGAAACTGGGAAATACCATAGGTGGGAAAGCCAAGCACAGAGTAATGTATATGGCATGCTACTGCGTGTGTGTATATGTTTAAAGAGAGGGCTTATCCTTTTTATAGGCAAGCAAACTTCCTTCAAGGCACACCAAGAACCTGATAACGAGTGCCCTCTTGAGGCTGGGCTGGGGAATTGAGATACGGGAGAAGGGAAACCCTCTTTATACCGTTACATCCATTTGTAAACTCTGAAATTTTAAACCATATATTCCTTTTTTAAAATACAACTTGGAAAACTACAAAATGCAAAATAAAATGGCGCATCCTTCTGAGAGGATTAAAGGGCATAATATTTGGAGCCAGTCTTGTACACAATATTGGCTCTACCATAGCGACTTAAGGCAAGTTCCCGCCCCTACTACCCTTGGGTGTCCGACAGTGGGTCTAGGGACATCCTTCCGGCTCTCAACCGGGCAACTGGGAGCCCACCCCGCCGCTCCGGTCCCGGGCCGGGCAGCCGTCTGCGGGCACCCCGCGGTGCAGCCCCGGCCAATCAGCGGCCGCGGGGCGGGTGGGGTGGCGGCGCGGCGCGCGCGGAACGGAGAGCGAAGCAGAAGCGCTACTGCCGTCCCGGAGCGGACCATGCCACTCTCACCCGTGCTCTTCCCGCTGCTGCTTCTGCTGCTGCCGCCGCTGGCCCCAGGCCTCGGGCTCCTCCGCGCGGGCGTCCGGCGCCCAGAGTGCGGTCCGTGCCGGCCGGAGCGCTGTCCCGCTCCCGTGCGCTGCCCGGCGCCCGGCATTCCGGCGCGCGACGAGTGCGGCTGCTGCGCGCGCTGCCTGGGCGCGGAGGGCGCGAGCTGCGGGGGCCCGGCTGGCGAGCGCTGTGGCCCCGAGCTGGTGTGCGCGAGCCGCGCCGTGGGGGCCGCGCCCGAGGGCACCGGCCTCTGCGTGTGCGCGCAGCGCGGCGCCGTCTGCGGTTCCGACGGCCGCTCTTATCCCAGCGTCTGCGCACTGCGCCTGCGCGCCCGGCACGCGCCTCGCGCGCACCCAGGCCACCTGCACAAGGTACACGACGGCCCCTGCGAATTTGGTAAGTCGGGCTTCCGCCTGGCAGTGCTGTGGCAGCGGGGAAGGCAGCGGCCGGAGGGACCCTAGACCCTGGGGTATTGGAAAAAGAATGTCCCTCCTCTCCTCCCAGCATCAACGCTGTCTAGGCAGTTTTTCTTATCTGGCA